GATTTAATAATAAAATTATATGTGCTCTTAATCATTAATTTTAAATTTAATTTTTAATTTAAAATTCAATTCCTAGAGTTGAGATAAAAAAATAAAATAATCTTTGGACCCCCTCAGTACCACCTTTTTCTTGAAAAATGCTTCAAAATAGAATTGTTAAACCCTCAATTTAATCCATATTATATGGATTTTTGAATTAGTTGTCAAACTAAAAAGTTTATAATTTGGTATCTAAAATTTTTAAGTTTAGTTTCAAATTAATTTTTATATTTAAAATAGTTCACATATTTCATTTTTAACGTAACATATGATCATCAAATAGTAATTTTTTGTCACTAAATAATGAATATATCAATTATTTTTTAACAAAAAAATTAATTTAAAAGTAAGTTTAAAAACTTTAAAGATTAAATTAAAAAACTTTTTATCCAAAAACTAATTCAAAATTTTATATAATGGTTGAGGGACTTAGTTAAAGGTTGAATCTAATATAATACCCGGTAAAGTTAATCTGGTCAGAAGAGGCGTTTTGACTGCAAATGATGATGTTAGCTGTTGTTGATGTGGTTTGGGCCGGGCCGGACGTGTACTTCTTGTTGCTTTGTGATTTTGCTTGCAATGTGTGGATGAGATGCTACGGACGGTGGGAAAGATGAAGCCAGAAATCAAAGAAGAGCAAGTGGGAGATGATGAATTAGTTCTAGAAGATTGAATAATAATTGTTTGTTCCTTTATCTTTTTTTTTTAAAAAAAAAAAGAATAATAATTGTTTGTAGTTATATAAAAAAGTAAATAATGATTGTTTTTAGTTATATAAAGAAATTTTTTTTTTTTTAAGATGTCCCTTTTATATGACTTTTTTTTATCGAGATTTGTTCTTTTGGTTAATCTGAAATTTTTTTTTTTATTATTTGGACAAAAATATGGTATATGATTTGAAATAATTCGGATATATTTTTATATTTTTTTCTCAATTTCTAACTAAATTTTTTTCAAAGAGCATGGTTAGAAAAGTGGAGAAATTGATCTCAGGGAAAAATGGTTCAAAGCATTCATTGCTGTTTTTTCTGACAAAATAACACAAGTTAAATTTAATTCAAAA